TGCAATCTTGCTAACTTTTTGCTGAGTTCTCATGCATCCGTTTGTGTTAAAACATTAAAACTACTGTCAGGTGAAGTAAATAGCGTTGATGATCTTGTTACAGTGCTGCTGATTCAGCATTCTGAAACCTTGGATCCTGCAGACCAAGCACATACTTTGCAAAATAAAAAATGCTCAGGAACAGCTCGAGGAACGCGACAAAGAACCCAATGTGTTGACTTGGACTCCAGCCTTCACAGATCCGAGGGGTGCAGTGAAACAAACCTGATCCATGGAGGTCCCACAGGACCCAAACAATCTACTACTGACATTCTGGTGCCAGACACCACAGAACAGCGCCACCTCTGTATCCATGCCTAAACGTTAGAGCTGTTTTTGCGGCAATGGGAAACTACCATATTAGTCAAGTGGGTTTATGGTGTGGCTGATCGACAAAGCATCCAAACGGTGCAGTAGTTGGGTCTCAACCCAACCACAGAGGCTTGCTGGAGGTAACTCTGGTTTAATTGTGTGTTCCTTCAAACACAAATGAGTTTTGTTCACAGGTGGAAAGCAGACAGTTTAACTTTCTGGTTGGTTGCAGGGTGAGGTGTGGAACTGGGAGGATAGCACAAACACCCCACATGTTACATCCTCTAGATGTAGCTTTCTGCTGGAAGATATATAGAAGTGTTTGTGTCACAGAGATAGCACATGCCTACACTCTTCCCAACAAATCTAGCAGTGGAAATGGGAAAATCTGCAAAGTTATGTATTAATTTTGCCACTTTGAGCTCCATGAAATGTGTGAAAAGTTGGATATTTTTCACCCATCGAAGTTAGTGTTGGTATCAGTACATACTGGCAGCAGTATCAGAAGTTTTTGCCTCTTTTTATTCATGAACTTGCATTGACACATTGATTACTGACTAGTAATCAGCTCCTGCAAGAGCTTTTCTCTGATGTTTACACCGAGCTCAGTTCAGGTTAATATTCAGGATATACTGTGCAGCATGTGCAGAACGTACACTGGGACTTCAAAGCCTGGAGGGGTTCGATAAAATACTGGGGTTATTTTTATTAATTGACTTTGGAAATTGAGGAGCTGCTGGTGAGGCCAGACGGTGTCATTTGGTGGAGACCACCTTAATTATCTGCCACTGACTCTGTGTCTGGTCATTCGTCTGGATCGCTCTGCAATAGGAAATCATGGAAGAGAGGACACTGTCAAAACATGTTTTGTACCTGTGTGCATGTGTGCATGTCCTGGATACTGTCAATGCATGTAAATTAGTGCTTGATTATTATTCTGTAAACAAAAGTTTTAAGCGACACATGGAATTAAAGATACTAGCAGATGCGTTTTCTAGCCCGAGGTCCACGTGTGAAAAATCTTGATTTTGTTGATGATCAAAGAAATTTTAAAAATACATTGACATTAATTACAGTCCTCTACGACCGAAATGTACTAAGTCAAATTCTAATCCATGTGCTTCAGTTCGGTATCTATCTGATCTGTGGCAGCTGAGACTCAAATGGAAGAGTGAATGGGTTGGTGTGCAGGGTTGGTGGTTTGATCCTCGGCACCGCTACAAGCTTAAGCAAACCATTGGTGGTGGAGCGGTCGTCCTCTGATCGCAAGGCTGGCAGTTCGATCACCTGCCCCTCCAAAATTGAAGTATCCTTGGGCAGGAAACTGAACCTGAAATTGCCCCCAATGGCACGCCTTGCATGGCAGCTCTGTCACCATTGGTGTATAAACGGGTGAATGAGAAAACATTCTAAAATGCTTTGAGTACCACAAAGGTGGAAAAGCGCTATATAGGTGCAGACCTTTTACCATATGTGTGAATTTGTGCAAGAAAAAGCACTTTAACCCTCCTATTATCTCTTGGTTCAATTTGACCCCATTCAATGTTTAACGTCTCTAAATAAGTTATTGACATCATTTTCTCAGTTTTATTTAAAGGGTTGTTTACACATAAATTTGTGTAACAGTTTTAATTATGATAACTTTCTGGAGGTTTAAATTGCTGAGGTCAAATTGACCCCAAAGATAAAAGAAGTCAGTACATTTGAAGGCAATAGAAGGGTTAAGTACAGTTGAGGTAGAAATCAATCATCCAGGTCATGGTAATCCCAAGAGTTTCGCAAAAAAGCGACCGAACTTTTGTTTTTGGTTCTTGTAGACGTTTCACTGATGGGAGTCCTAGATTTATAATGTCACCCACAACTATCATGACCAATGGACCATTAATGACCCAAGACTCACAGCCTCGAGGTGTTAATAGTTGTGAAACTGCCAGACGCCTCAAGACTGAATTATCAGTACCTGATAAATGGCGTTGTAGACCATGTCCTCTGTTTAGAGATGGCTGCCCCAGTTTAACACAGATGGCTTCTTTCACAATTCTCTCAAACCATCTGTCTTCTCTGTCCAGAATGTGGATGTCGCTCTACTTTATCTTTATTAGTGTACTTTATCTTCTAAGTGTTGTCCTGTGGAGCTGATTCTTCAGTGTGTTTGTGTAGCAATTGTTTAGTCTTGTCATTCGCCGCTTTAGGGGTTGCTTAAATAAGTTGGGCTGACAGTATATATCTGGGACTTTCCATTAGTCACTTACAACAGAAGAGGCCTCTTAGATTAGAGGGGAAACACCTTCAAGGACCAAAAAGAGAAGTCCAGTTTCCTTCGTCTGAAGCTCTTAGGATTGCTATATACAAGGGTGCTTCAAAACGTTCTCAGTCTCAACCGGAAACAAGGGGTATCACTTTAACTTTGGGACATATGTGTATACTATTAAGCCTTAAATCACTGTCCACAAAAACTCAAATGTTTGAAGCATTCAAAGAAAAATGGAGAAGAAAGCTTTGAGCTGGCTGCTGTTGCTCCTGGACACACAGCACAGGTGGCAGAAACAGCCAATTGTGGCTTTGAAATGTTGCCCTTACTCACCCGACCTGCACCGCCTGACTTACATCTGTTTCCCAAACTAAAATCCTACTCGGGTGGTCGCCATTTGTAGAGTGATGATGAAGTAATGCTGTTGAGGAGTATCTGACTTCCGCAAAGGGATGGGGAAGCTTAAACATTGGTGAACCAAGTGCGTTGAAGTTAAAGGGGACAAATGTTGAGGCCAAGGACTTTTCGAAGCATCCTCATAAGTGCCTACCATTTACCATTTGTGTTGTTGTGACATACCGTGCGACTCCTGTGACCCACTCACACACTGTGTACAATTAGTCTTAGTGCTGTTCAGGGAAACCGTGCACATGTAACATGGGGAATTCAGAGCTCCTCTTGGGGCGGAGTTGAGGCTCCACCATCTTCCCTCCGGTCCTCATCTTATTAAGGGATCAGAGCCTCAGAGATCTGGAGGGACGAAGCTGAAAAAGGTTGTCATGGTTCACATCTGCACATTATCTGTTGCACTACAGAGATATGAACAGACATGTCGAATATGTAAGGGTGCAGTGTCTTAGTTTTTGAACATGACTTGCATTCAGTTGTTATTTTTCTAAGCCACTGAATTCCATTGCCTGTGCAGTTTTTATATTATGTTGTTTGTTCCAATGTGAATGAGTGTCCTCTATTCAGCTTTGCATGCTTTATTAGTTTCTTTCTAATCACAGATCCAAAGACTATAAAGCTGATTCATGTTAGAGTACGAGAAAATGGCTAAGTGCATGCAAGTTACAGGTACATATTTATCCAGCTGGGAGATTAGAAAGGTTGGAGAGGCATTACAATTTGTCCAGGCTTTAGTAAACAATAAAGACAGATCATGTATGAGTAAGCACACAGCGATATCACAAACACTGGCAGGCACAACTATTGTACTGGATCAGGTGATGCAGCCGCATCGCTTAGTTTCCTCTCAGGAATTGTAAAAGTTGTTTGACTCTCTGGGCCTTTTGTTTAGGTTTTTGTGTACAATGCAAATATTAGAATAATATTAGATCATATTGCGTTTGTGTTGAAGGGAACAGTTACTACAGAAGTGATGTTGCACTCATTGAACCGCATCTGATAAACCTGAACAACAGGAAAAAATATTCTGTAGGCGAGTCAGCTCATTTGTCCAAAGTCTCGCCTCATTTTGTCTCCTTCATCAGACCATTTATTTTCTTTTCTCATATATGTCTACCCAGTGGCTCTCTGCTGGTCACCCTGTGAGCGCCCCCTGCTGTTTGTGCTGCCTGGTACTGGCTGAGTCCCATGTTAATAGAATCACGTTCTCTCTCAGCAGGATTCAGTCTCTCTCTTCATGGGAGTAATTGGTTTCAAATTGGTCTGTTTTCTCTGAGAATCCTGTCCTCGCTCTCCTGCGGACAAAGTGCTTTTTAAAAATATTAAATAAAAAACTTGTCTCACTTATCTTTAAACTAGAGCGGTAGTGGACAATCTGAATGATTAATTATTTCCTGGCATGTCATGTCAGGAGACACAGTGGTGGCAGAATAAGTGGGTTATGTTTAATGTATATAAGGTTAGTTTTTTTACACACTGTTATTATATTTAGAGTCATCCAAATGCGTTGTCTTCCCTTTCCCTGTGTGATGTCATTCTTCAACATGCAAACTGACTTTGCAGGCACAGTCACTCACAAAAAACTTAAATCCTTACCCTGAGATCATATTTCTTTGTGCCTGAGCTCATTTTTCTTCTATCAGCGTGTTTATGTGATAATTTTAGTGTTTGTTTATTGTCAGTCACCTGACAGTCACCGCCTCCTCGTGAAAAAAAATCCCTCTAAACATGCCACTTTAAAGAGCTGATTGGCATATCCATGTCTGTTTACTGGTGGTTCTGTTAGGTCTGAAGACAAAAGAAGTCTTATAATTCTAAACTGTATGGCTTGGGGTGAAAACTGCAGGAGGAACACGTCATGCAGGCGAAGGTTTTAAAAAGAGCTTTTGCACCATGTTATGAAAATGTGGTAAACTTGGTGCTGACTGCTTATGAAATGTTGGAAGACACGATATTGTATTGATGAATTATGATTTTCTGTTTCATCCAGGGAGTTGCACTGGCCTCTCTCTTCTTCATCCTGGTGTCCATCACCACCTTCTGCCTGGAGACCCACGAAGCCTTCAACGAACTGCAAAGCTGGACAGAGCTGGTCGTCACGGACAACGTCACACGCGAGGTGGAGAGGACGGAGATGGTGACCAAACCAATCCTCACGCTGGTGGAGGGCATCTGTGTCGTCTGGTTCACGTTTGAATTCCTGGTGCGAATCATCTGCTGCGCGGACAAAATCGTCTTCATCAAGAACACCCTCAACATCATTGACTTTGTGGCCATTCTGCCGTTCTACCTGGAGATGGGCCTAAAAGGACTTTCATCCAAAGCTGCCAGTGACGTGCTGGGCTTCCTCCGCGTGGTGAGGTTTGTTCGAATCCTCCGGATCTTCAAGTTGACCCGACACTTCGTTGGCCTTCGTGTTCTGGGTCACACGCTGAGGGCCAGTGTCAACGAATTCCTCCTCCTCATCATCTTCTTGGCTTTGGGTGTTCTTATCTTCGCCACCATGATTTACTACGCTGAGCGAATCGGAGCCAAACCCGACGACCCCACTGGCTCCAACCACACACACTTCAAGAACATCCCCATCAGCTTCTGGTGGGCCGTGGTCACCATGACGACGCTGGGCTACGGTGACATGTATCCGCAGACGTGGCTGGGAATGATGGTGGGGGCCTTGTGCGCGCTGGCCGGCGTGCTGACCATCGCCATGCCGGTTCCCGTCATCGTCAATAACTTTGGGATGTACTATTCGCTGGCGATGGCCAAACAGAAGCTGCCAAAAAAGAAGAAGAAGCACAACCCGAACCCAGACGTTCCGACTGACTCGATCTCGTTCGGGAAGTCCGAAACAAACTCACACAGAGACAGCACGCAGAGCGACACGTTTCCCCTGGCTGCTGAGGAGAGCATCGGCAGGAACCGCTCAGGTATCAACAATTATGGGTCACTTTAGCCGCATTGCATCGTGTTTCATTTGATCAGCTTCTCTGCTTCTAGCCCAAAACAGTGGAGGTAAATGGAGGTTTATTGTCACAAAAAATAAGAGTTCCCTCTAAAAACATGTGCTCTGCTATTTCGAAAATAACATTGATTCTGGAAAGAGATTTTTACATTCTGGAAAAAATTGTTTTTATTATTGTTATTTTATTTTAACCAAAACTTTAAAATTATTCATCTACTTCCACTGTGTTAGAGGAAATCATCAGTTGCATCGATAAATGCCATCATGTACGCATTAGAATTTATTTATTTATTTTTAAATTTGGGGAACTGAGTCTTTAAGCTGTTGTTGCTGATAAATATATTATTCATTAGGTTTTTAATTTAAAAACAATACACTGTTTATCCTGTTCTAATGTGATCATTCATCCTTTTAAAGCCCATATGATAAATATTTGAGTGGTTTGGAGCCTAATAATAACACAAGGAGCCACTGGGTTTCCAGTCTTGTACTTTCTGAGGCGTTCGTCAGAGTTTGCCTGATAGATCAACTGTGCTGAGTCATAAAGACAGTAACGCACAGGGATCAAATTACTCTTCATAACATCTCAGTCAAATTGGATTTCGTCACAGAAAAATACCGATTTTATGCAATATACCTCTGCCTTTTCCTGGGCCCTCGGGGGAGTCTCAGTAAAAGCTTTGGCATTTACGTGGCCGTGTGGTTTTGTCTTCCTGTCAGACTCCAAACAGAACGGAGATGCAAATGTGGCCCTTTCAGAGGAGGAAGGCTGCAGCCTGACCCAGCCGCTGTCCCCCAGTGAAAAGTGGTCCTTGCGGTGCTCTAGAGGGCGAGACAAGAATAAGAAAGAGGGCACCTGCTTCCTGCTAACCTCCGGAGACCCCAACGTCCACACTGGTAAGCTGCTGCATCTTAGCCAGCACATGAAATATGAGGGAGATCTCAGACAACCTTGTGTTTATCTGGCTAATAGTCCGCGACTTGTCACTTTTATGCATTGCATTTTCAAAATGAATTAACCGTCTGAACCACAAAAGATGCTGGTGAGTTTGAAAGGTATGTGATTTTTACAAATTGCAAAAATTACAACATTTGTCAGAGCCATCCATCCATCCATTTTCTATACACCGCTTAATCCTCATTAGGGTCGCAGGGGGGCTGGAGTCTATCCCAGCTGACTTAGGGCGAAGGCAGGGGACACCCTGGACAGGTCACCAGTCTATCACAGGGCTACACTTAGAGACAGACAACCAAGCACACTCACATTCACACCTACGGACAATTTAGAATCACCAGTTAACCTAACATGTTTTTGGACTGTGTGGGAGGAAGCCGGAGAACCCGGAGAGAACCCACGCTGCACGGGGAGAACATGCAAACTCAGCGCAGAAAGACTTAACTTAACTTTCTGACAGCCCTTGAACTGCTTGTGTCATTCCATCAGAAAACTTAACCAAATCTAAGCTTAATATGTTGATATTTTATCAAAATTACATTATTCTGTATGTGTAATGTAAACATTTGCTGGACATTTATCAGATTCTGTGAAAAAGAAAAAAAATCAGTGCATCTCAGCACAACTGTAAAACATGACAGACTCAGCTGCAACCAACAGTCACATGACAAAAATGCTGAGATTTTTGTTGGCTGAACTGCAGGAAGTGTTTACACAAAGCAGACAGGAGGTAAGTATGGAAATAAAGTAAAAATGTAAGTAGTAAAATATTCACAGTATGTAGAGCCACAGTGACAGCCTTGGTAACACCTGTAGGCACTTGGAGGAATGTTACTCATGTCCATGCTTTTTTTCAAATTTTGCAAAATAAATCTTTTTTTTAGTGATTTATGGTGTTAAAACACTTTGGAGTTTTGTTCTGCTCTTAGTCATGGTTGTGCTGTTTCCATAAATTTGCAGGACTTCATAGTGCAGTAAAAAAAGGGCCCACAGTGAGTAAAAGGTGACAGTTCAGAATAAACAAGATATGACTTGTTACTGCAGTGAGCTTTAAAAGGGATTTTTGGTGGAAGTTACCTCTGCACAAAGCCCAAGTTGTTTTATCTCACTGTCTCCAATCTCTGTGATAAGCCAGGCATCAAAAAAACTAACAAACAAAAAACAAAACAGTATTTAAATAAATAAGTAATTTAAGGGCTGTTGTAAAGTTCAGAATTTCTTTATTTTATATGGTTCGAATAAAAATGCTCATTTTGGTGATTTTGGAGATAATGCAAAGCTTTGAAACCCCCCAATGTTTTTGTTGTTGTTGTTGTTTTTTTGTTTTTTTTGTTTCAGAAGCTTCGAGTTAACAGCATGCTGCTTTGAAACAATCTTGCCAGTAAAGAGAACTTACTGACAAAACTCACAGCTTATACAGGAAACTTAGCTAATACAAGAAATACGCAATTATTTTTACAGGAACAAAAACGGTCACTACTGACATGCGAGAAAGTATTTTTTAAATTAACCAAGCAGAAATAGGTGATCTTTGCAAATACAGCTGTTTACAGATCATCTAACACATTCACCATTTCTATCAGATCCACTCTGCTGCAGCTTAAACATCAGGTGAAACTGCAGTCGGATAGCGTCAGTAACATGGAGGCCCTAAGACACAGACACTTTATAAAGTCAGAATCTACACACTAAAATACAAGCCAACTATGAAACAAACCCACCCAATCTTTGATAAGGTGTATCTCTGCACATGTGCAGCTTTCTTCTCTCAGTACAAGCTGAGCGTATTCTTTAAAAGTGTTTTAAGAGACCATGAATTTGTGTGGAAAGGACAACACTGTGTGATCATATAATCACAACACAAACAGACCAAACTTAACAGTCATCTGAAGAAGAAACAGACACACTTACACATCTGTATTCTAAATATCTCCACACATCGGATTTCAGTTTGCCATTCATGTCATAGTTTTCCCTGTTTAACCATTTTTGTCCAGAGACACAACACCAACGTCTGACCAGTGTTGGTTGGGAAACTTCTCATCTCTCCTGCCACCTACAAGTGACTAAAAGCAGTTTTTAGTCATTATTTACTGCTCGGATCAATAGGAAATCAATGGAGGAGCTTTGTAGCACTAATTGCATTATCCATCTGTCTGTGTGTGCTTAGTGAAAAAGGGTTCCTTTGCAAAGTGCTGCCGGATGAAGGTTAGTAGTAATAGAGAACAACCTCTTGCATTTAAATATGAAAGTTAAAGCCCCATATAGTGAAGGTCAGGTTCAAGTACAAAGTGTAAGTTGGGTTCATTCATCTTGTGACAGACAGGATTATGAAACTGAGCTGCAGATGTTTAGCATGCAGTAGCAATATTCTGTTATTATGACCAACATGGGCACAAAGGAGAAGACAGTTCTCCTGCAGTTCTCTCAAATTGGTATCCGCCATCATCCTCCCATCTCTGTCTCTGCTTGAATGGCCGCTGGATCCCACATCTGAGCTTCCCAAAGTACCCAAAAGCCCCTTTGCGAGAAGAGGCTCTATATTTGGCAGCCGTGGATTCATTCCTGACATCCTGGAGCACAAATCCCACCCAGTCTACATCCTGGCTCTCGTCTGCAAACAGCTCAGCGACACTGAAGGTGTTTTCCTGCAAAACTGCACTTTCGCCCCAGAAGCGTTTCACTAGCAGAGCTCATTAGCACATCACCATCGAGGAAAAAACAACACATAAATGGGGCACTTACTGTAGCTTGGCTCCTGTAAGACCATATACCCCCATGTTTTTTTCCCTTTCTTTCAACAACCCATTACAAGGAAATTGTATTTGAGCATATTTCCTGAAAGCCTCGTCAGGCCTTAAATGTGACGTAAATTGGTGCACGTTAATGGCATGTTGTCGCATGCACAACACTCACTGAGTTATATCTGTCAGATAAATGAGAAGAAGAGATGTGTTGTTGTACTCTGGGGAAGACAAAATCTGTCGCTGCAAAATTTACACCCTCACAACGAGAAAGCCACAAATAAAGAGAAACCGTCTTACACGCTGAGTTTTCTAATAATACTAAACGATCTGCTCGGCTCATGAGATCGCCATGCGAGCTTTACTCTGATCGCAGAGACAAAATCGATGGAGAGCTGAGCAAAGCCAGAACACCTCAAAACTAATCTTTGAGGCAGGGAGGAGGGAGGGAGTAATTCAATCCTGAGCTCTGTATCTGGTGAGCATGTGCATAACAACATCCCGGACTATTAGAGGGGAATATCACACATACACAACACATTTTAGCCGCACATTATCCGCAAAAAGGGTTCAAGTGGACTTTCAATGTTTCCTAACAATTCAAAAAAATCAAAAGCTCCTTGTTTTTTTGCACAGCATGCAAAAAGCTGCCTCTGTGATTCCTGCCATTTTGATCCAGCTGGATAGAAATAGATTATGACTCAGTGGCTCTGCTCTTTAGAGATCTGCCCATAGGGGATGGTGTTGGCTAATTCCAGGGTTACAGGGTAGAAGGTACGAGCGATGTTTCACCACTGCAGGAAACAGATAAAAAGGACAGAGGTGTTTGAAGTGCCTGGTATTTTTAAAAACTCACCAAAATTACACAATTTATCAGAGCCAGAATTTGTATAAACAAAAAAAAAATCCAACAGTCCTTAATAGGGATGCACGATATATCGGCGACCACATCCATATCGGCCGATATTAATGTTTTTTCTGATATATCGGTATCGGTCCAATGAACAAATTTAGCCGATGTGAAAAATCGATGATTGTGTCTAACATTAGTGCCCTCGTCTCTACATTTGATATTGCTGCTATTTCACAGATGTTTTACTTAAATGGTCCTGGATTTAAATATGTTTAAATATGTTTTACTTTTGTTACGTAATAAAGAAGACTACGTGGTCTAATTTGGTATGGCCTTCTTTAGTATAATTTTCACGTTCTCACAGTGGTTATACTCATTTTTCAGTGTGAACAAAAATGGAATATCGACATCGGTTATATCGGTTATCGGCGATATCAGAAATATTAATATAGGATATCGGTATCGGCCACAAATTTTAATATCGTGCATCCTAGTGCTTAAATTACTCATGTCTGAAAAAAAATCGTAACCAAAACTAAGCTTAAACATATTACATTTCATCAAAATGACTATTCAGTATGTATTATTTGAAAGTTTGCCAGGCATTTAGCAAACTCTGGTAAAAAAAACAAAAAAAACATACATTTTTGGTTCTCAGCATTTTTGGTTCTCAACACAACTTTAAAACCAGCTGCGACCACCAGTCACATGACAAAGATTGAGGAATTCTGTTTTGGCAGAACTGGGCTGAACTGCAGACTGTGTTTATATAAAGCAAAAGACGTACGGAAAACAAATTTAAAATGTAAGTAGCAAAATATCTATAGTATGCATACCCACCTTTTTCCAGAAATCACTGTAGGTACTTGGGAGAATGTTACACATGTTTTTTCAACTTTTGTCTTCTTTATGTGCAGTGCAGTACGGCAGCAAACAGAGAAAAAGCACACATGGATTTAAAAGGCTGGTTATTTTTTTCAATTTGCCAAAATTACACCATTTATCAGAGCCACAATTTGCAAAAACAGAAAAATCCTGAAAGTCCTTCAACTACTCGTGTCATTCCATTGGAGCACTTAACCAAATCTAAGCATAAATCAGGATGTTTTATCCAAATCATTCTTCTGTATGTATCATTTTAAAAATTGTCAGGCATTTATCAGATTCTGTGAAAAAAACAACAGTAAAACCAGCTGGAACCAACAGTCGCATGACAAAGACCGAGGGATTTTATTTTATTTTTTTGCAGGACTGGGTTGAACTGCAGGCTGTGTTTAAACAGAGCAGATAGAAGAAAAGTGTGGAAACAAGTTAAAAATGTAAGAAATAAAACATCTCTAGCATCAGGGCCACCTCGTCATCCACTGTAGGCACTTGGAAGAATGTTGTATCTTTACATCTTTTTAAAATAAACTAAATAAAATACATTTTTTTTCCATGTGCAGTGTCGTATGTCAGGAAACAGAGAAAAGGGACAGATGGATGCAGGTCTGATCAGATGGTTATCAGTGGCAGGAAATGGTCGCCCGCCTTGTTGAAGTGATTAAAGTCGCAGCAGGGAGCCTGTGATAGTGTTAGCACTTGCTGTTGTGATTTACACACACAGAAATAAACGCTGTCAAAGTCGCGCCGTGTCTGCAATGTGACAACCACCGGCTCTTTTTAGTGTAATGTGCATAATAGTGCGGCAAACAGTTCAAATGCTGCAATAGGAAGCGTCAGGCGGAAACGCAGACGAGTGGAGGAAAAAGGTTTCCAATGAGCCTCCATATTCCCCGATGACTTCTTCAGATGATTGCCACTAATAGGTTTCCATTAACAACGTAGACGGTCAAAGCGAAGCCTCCTGCTGGTTGCTGAAGTTCAAAATCTCTGGGATTTTAGTTGTCATTATAAACAACATTTTTTTAGAATCATTCAGCCCTTCTGCTTCTCAAGGATTAACAGTTAACTTGAGTACATTCAGCGCCGCAGCCGAAGGCCTGAACAGTACGTTCCTCTGCTTCAAAAGGTTTCACACTCCAGGTCTTTTCTGGTGCTCACATAATTATTTGTTTCATTGCGTCTGTGTCTTTTGTGTTTCCTAACAGAGAGCTGCAAAGACATCCTCGCCGCCACTGGGAGCTACGCTCAGCCGGAGGTCACCACTCTGACCAGATGCTGATCGGCTGTGAAAAGGAGAAGGAGCACCAAGAGTTTCACGGCAGCATTTCATTTTTTTCCTTCCTGAACGAACTGCAGACCGGTTTCTTTTGAAATCAGGATGAGATTTTCTTTTGTCGCCTCGTACATCCAAAAAAACCCAAACCCTCTTGCATAGCGGACTCATCGTATGTGTATACTCATTTACATGTTCAAAGCATTTCTGCATGTATTGCATGATCAAGGACTGTGTGACGTACTACTAAAAACTGGCTGCCGTTCTTATCATTTAGTGGACATGTTGTCGATTGTCTCAAAGGCCCTTAAGGCACCTTATGTTATGTTCATTTAATCACTCTTCTATAATAGAAATTGTGGATTTTTCTCCTTTTTTTATTTTTTTTGAAGGGGCGGGGCTTAGTTTGGAACACATGATGTCACACACTTCAGTGCATCAGTCAGGTTTTAGCAACATGTGACTCAGATCTTTGTTCCTAGTCAATTAAATCTAATTGAACCACCTCTGCTCAGCGCTCATGACGCATATAAGCAGAGTTGTGGGGTCTTAAACTCTCAATAAAGATGTCAACTTTGAGCAGATGTGAATGTTACAGAACAAGACTTCAGATTTAGTCAGAGGTGAGTCATCATTTTTGCTCATAAGATTTGTTGTGAGATTCTTGTCCTTTTTTTTTTTTTTTCTTTTTTGAACTCAAACACACATCATTTGGATTAATGTCTACAGTAAATGCCCCCCGAAGCCACAAACTTGTGAATATGGGTTTATACAGCAACTGTGAAATAGGATGAAATAGATGAAAACTTGAATTCATTGTTTCATCATCCGGTCTCTCTCTTTCGCCTTCTGTCGTGTCACTGCTTTTTAAAACACTGACCACGGGGGGAAAACGTACAGACATTTTGTCGAGACACAGCGTGATGTAAATTCTGCTCAGGCAACGTTGTTTGTAAATCCTTGTACAATAAGAGAGTTTAACAAAAGAAGAAAGGAAAAAAAAAATCAATGGAGCAGTATTGTCTGTCTTATTACATTAGCTGTATACAACCGATGCATCATTACTGGTTGAGTCAGGACCAAATGTAGGCTCTATTAGATTACATGGTGGATTTTCAGTACGCGTTAGTAAAAATACATACAGTACAATGCCATCAGTTCCACTTGTGCCTCATGTTGAGTAATGGAGTTTAAATGTGTGCAGTAATGTAATTGGATTTGTTCCTCGACACTTCTGTTGGAGCGGAGGGAAGAAGCGGGAGGAGTGTGGTTTCTTTTTGCTCGTAGAATATATTCCTCACGGTCTGCCATAGTGGCCTTATGTTGAATAAACGAAGGGGAGGTTCATTTTAACGTCATTAGAACTATTTCTGTAGAAGCACAGCTGTATGTATGTAGCACAGTACAATATCGTAGATCCCTGAACTCCTTTTTTTTCTGTATATGACACGTGTATGCACCCAGAAATAGCTGTTAATCGACTACGGAAGACTTTTATTTTGATATTTCACCTTTATAGCCTCATTTCTTGTTTCCCCCTCGTTGTATATACTCAAATGTGACGGACAAGCACACGGTAAATCAGTTTAATATTCCCCCATTATGGATTGTATAGATGGATTTTAACTGTCAGATGTTACGTGAGTGTGTGTGAGTGAGTGTGTGTGTGTGATGTTGTATCATATAGGCATGTGTTTCTATGCAGAAAGACGAATAAAATCCATTTCTTCCCCTCCCCCTCTCCCCGGTGTTGAAGATAAGTTGATTCAAGTCATTTAAGTACACTCTGCCTTTTATCATCATTCACAGATTGCATTGTGGAATCTGCAGGTTTTCTTTTTTTTTTCTTTGCAGCTACTGTACAGCTATTTATAAACCAACCAGCAGACTGCACTTGTGTAGTCTGCTGGTTCAAAGCGGTGCAACGGCAGTCGCAGCTGCTCCTCCTGCGCCTCCGTGATTATGTACCGAAGGTGTAGATGACATACAGAACACATCTCCATGGAGATTTGGGATGACAGGCAACACTAATTACTGCTGAGCTGCCTCCATCTCCCCGCTCCCTCTGTTTGTCACATGCAACGACACACCGCTTTCACTCACAATCTCCACAGACGCTCAGTCACCTCGGTGCATCTTTTGCTTGATGTTTAGGGAGATCTTGTGCACTGTGGTGATGAAGGGGAAAAAAACAGGGTGGGGTGGGGATGCAAGGTGTCATCACGTGTTCATTCAAAAACACACTTTGTTTGAGCAGAGTTCAGACAAGATGAAGAAGATGCTTTTATTCTGTGTTTCTGTAATGTTTGAGTGAGGATGCACGGATAGAAACGTTCAGCTCATCTCCCACAAATTGGCAACTCATATAATTCATAAGCATAACTTGAGATGTTTACAGGTGTACTTCTGTGCATGTGTCAAGATCTCAAGAATGAATGTGACTGAAATACATCTTCATGCATTAATCATGTGTTTTGCAGCTGAATTTTACTTAAACCTTCGTAATAAATGGCATGTATTTCCTCTGGAGGAATCTAGTTTCACATACAGTTTGGAATTTTGTTCTCGAGGTTTTGAACAATTACCTTCAAGCACTAATATTATTATTAATGCTAAACTTATTGTTTAATGTACTGTTACAAATGAGAGATGACCTTTCTGTGGCTGTTTGTGCATCATGTATGATTGCTGTGTCTCTTGTTCAAATTGTGTTGAATCAAAAAGCACAAAATAAAGTTCTTAAAAGTGTTTTTTTTTCAGTGCATCTCTTTCCATAATAAGCAGAATATTTAATTAAAGGTAGTTTGACGGTGCTGCTTCTTCAGTCGAAAGTCACTGTCGGCTGTTGCTTTGAAAGATTCATGGGAGGTTTTGTTGCCTGTTTTTTTTGTTCCTATGTCTGTATTTTATAACCTGTCACTGCTCTAATGCCATTTTTTATTCGTTTTCCAGCATGCGAGAAGACATTTAAATACAAAAGCTATCAAGGTTTAGAAAAAGAAAAGCAGCTAATTAGTCTTTAGTGGCTTACAATCATTCTTTTCCTCTTTGCAACACATTTGCATTAATTCCACCTTAATTCGTGCAGCCGCTGTAGGAACAAAGCTCGTGGCGAGCATTTCCATTTCCAACGTTTAAATGAAGCCTTCGGTGCATTTTTAAGTAAGATGCTGCTGAGAGGTTTGTCATGCTGTGGACGGATGAAGCGCTCGTGGTGATGGATGAACGTGTATCCAGATAAAGTGTCCTTTAATGTTGGTCATTTTTGCCTCAGTCTGATGTAAATGTCATGTTCATACATCACAGGAATCCTCGTAATCACGGCTGAGGGCACCTCACCGGTGCAGCAGCCGCGCAGGAGATAACATACAACCCGAATTATCTCTGCACCTCCTCTGGGAAATACCAGCCCAACAGTCCTCTCTAAATCTACGTTGCATGTGTCTGCGCTGAGAGGTGATAATTGCCCAGCTGGATCCTGCGAATTTGGCTGAATGCCATATTTTGATGACTCCATCAACACAAATCAGCAATCTTTGCTAGTAGATGATAGTTTTCCACACCTGAAAAAGAAAAAAAAAAAAAACTCCATTAGTGAAACAACATCAACCCTCTCAGGAGGAAAGATGATTGACAGGTTTGTGAGGAGGTGATTGATGAGGAGACGGAGTCAGAGCTGGAAGTTGAGAGAGAATCTGTCAGGGCTTGTCCTATCATCCTTCATTTGCTCCCTTTCATGGTTTCCTTGTTTTATTCCCCCCCCTCCTCTGTTGAAGGTTGTCATGACAATATTGAACACAGTTTCCATGGAGCCCGAGCTATTTCACCAGTTGATTCACTGGTGCGGCACTGACGGAAAGAAACCATCTTGACTTATCCTGCCTGGTGGAATAATAAACTTTCACTTATTTATGGCTTCAGGAGGATGTAATTCAGAGGCCGATAATGTAATGTGGACGTTCCTCTATACACAATAGATATGAAGCTTACATTATATATAAATTATGCATCACTATTGGACTATTGTGTCCTGCAACTACTGAGAGCACTCGGATGCAGCAGATGTGTGCAAAGTGAGATCTGCTTATTGAACTCACCTTGTGCCAGTCAAGTTCCTTTTAGAATAAATGGCTCCATTAATGTGTTTGCGGCATTGCTTTTCTGCTATAAGAGAGAAGTTTTCAAACTCTGAGGAGAGGATTTTACTTGCCTCTTCAGTTTAAGGTTTCAAATGAAGGTTGTAATTATTGTCTGAAAGCCTTTAACAGGCAGAGCAGTCCATCAAACAGAGACAAGATCGTCTTTTAAATCAGGATTCAGAAGCATCAAACACGTCAGAATCTCACCGATCAGGACTTTTCTAAGCCCAGCTCGCAGACAGATTAAAGTAGGGAGGAAACACAAGTGGAGTGTGGTTGCTATGCAGATGGATCTTTAGGGCTCTGCTTTCTTTTTTTTTTTTCCCAGTTCAGAGGTCGTCCCCATTTAGAGAGCACCTCAATTAGCCTTCAGAACAGGAGAGCTCTCAGCTGCCGTCACAAGATCTTTTGTCATGTTGCTTTTGGACGGACTAGGAAGAAATCTCTACATTTACTAGCTCTCGGTATCAGATCTAGAAGTAAAGCATGAAATAATTTCACAAAACCCAGGTTGGCGAAGCTCCATTAAACCACTTCACTCTCCTGTGAGGCTCTTGGAAGCGATCGGCATGATTTTTTTCACACCGTCTCTCTGAGCTCCTCATCTGTGACAACGGTGACTCTCAGCTGGTGACAGATAATTTGGTCCACTGTGTTTTTTATTTTCTGCGTCTGATGCTGTCAGACCACTTTCAACTCATTCTCACTAGTCGAGAATTTCTTTCCTGTGTGGCGGCAACACGTGTAGCTCAGCTCCTGTAGTCTGAACTGGAATTCATTTGTAGAGCTAGCTATGTCTAAAAGACTCACTATTTATTCAACAAGAACACAAACAGTCCACGATGCAGTGGTCCCAACACTGGAGACACAGTCCTCGCTGCTTCATATGGTCTTATACATTATAATGATGACTTATGTTTGGGCAAATAAAGAACTTTTAGAATAGCTTCATTGAAGTCTGGTGGTTACAACCCTTAGATACTAAAGGATATGAGGTGGAATAGAAAAAAACTAAACTAACAGATTGATCAAATATATGTCAGACTAGTAATCAATTAATCTATTGCTGATTACCCGTCTCTAATCATTACATCTCATCCCTTTAGATGATGTGAATCTGTCTATATGTCTGCTTTTTTATTCAGTTTAATATTTGAGTCAGATAAAAAGGTAAGGTTTCTCCTTTTTCCTCTACTGTAAAAAAAGAAAAAAGGGTTTTAAAAAAAACCCAAAACACATCAAAATGTCAAATGACTGGCAACAATAGCTGAAAAACCAAAAATCAATCAATCAATCAAATTTTATTTATATAGTACTTTTCATGTGCAACAACAACAATCGCAAAGTGCTTTACAACATTTAAAAACAACAAAGCATTTAAAAACATTACAGCATTTAAAAACATTACAACATTTAAAAAATAAAATAAACCCGTCCCTCCCACCCTCCATGCATACACATACACATACAATAAATGTATTTGCGCACACACAGACACACTCACCACGAGACTAAAAGAGGCATGGCATGGCACTGAGGGATTGTGGGAAACGCTACCATTGGGGCCGTCCACACCAGGAGGAGCTGCAGACCATGACTACTGGGGGCGCCAGCGCCCAGACCCCCGACCCGGCAGACAGGGGGGTCCCCACAACGAGGTGAAGAGCCCCCCCAACCAGCCGGGCCAAAGGGACCCACAGACAGAACCCCCAGCAGCAGACCGCACACAGCCCCCAGTGTGGAGGACCCCCCCTAAGGAAACACTGGAAATAAAACTAAAAACTTTAAGAATAAAAGGCCTTATGTAAGATAAAATAAAAGTGAAAGAGTAAACAAAGCATTTTAAAAAATGTAAAATTCAATTCAAATGTTCAAATTCATACAAGGTGCAAAGACAATAAATTTGCAGATTTTGTTTTCACAGATTTGACCGATATTTATTTATTTTTGCTCAAACATTATCAGTGACGTGTTGACACATATATTTAAGATTGCAATGATCTGACGTGCAGAGGTTGCATTATGTTGGATACAATAAACATAAATGGTGTATTTGTACCCAGAATTACAGGGTTTAATATAAAAGTAACATAATTATAAAACAAAGAAGATTTATTCTAAAATTATTTCTGTGCCAGCTGCACTGTGCAAGTGTGCTCCTATATGTAAAGACCTACGGAGATAATTATTGTCCATGTCGTTTAAGAAAGCAGAAAAAATACTGTAAAAAATGATGGAATTTTTAATAAATCAAATAAATGTAATTTTTGCTTTTTTTTGACATGATACATGAAACAACTGTTGAGTTGTTAACTTACAGATAATGTTTGTACAATTAAAAGTTACTGTAAAAATGTTGTTTTCCTTAAAATTAGGATGATTTTTTTTTACAGGAGGGTTTAGTGATTTTTCTATGGCATCTTCTTGATTGAAAGATTTTAATGGAGCAGTTTATGTGCAGCTGTCAAAGCAGTGATGCTGCTAAAAAGAAATGTGGTTAGAAACAAGCTGTCAAATGATTATACAGAGGTAATAAAGGCTATTATCCAATATAAATATCTATGATCTATATCTTTAATCTAACATGGACATAAACAGATATTCTACACAGTGAGGAATGGGCTCCAACATTTCAGATGTTCTCATTTTCAGTTTGACCAGATTCAGACTGATGATCTGGCATCACCTGGATGCTTGGATGGAGTTTATAGCAGATGTCAGATCTCAGGAATCAAACTAGTGACAACAAAGTTAGAATTCCCTTAAATGATGGTCAGATTAATGAAAATAAGAGCAAAACAACTGTTAAAGTAATCTAACTAACCGAAGCATCTGTTTGGAACTACAGCATCATCAGGACACCAGATATCAACATGTTCCACAACAGTTCTGGCTCAGCGCTTCATCATCATCATCATCATCATCATCATCATCATCATCATCACTGTCCTCCAGTGATAAGCCAGAAGAACGAGACCCCAAATGATAGGTGAAACCAACCCAGGCCTGTGAGGGGGGATGAAGAAGTAATGATCTGTGAAGAGCAGGAGAATTGTTCCTCAGTCAACTACCCTAAAGGGAGTTTCCCCCCACCGCAGAAGCATTATGTGTTCAGCAGAAGGCCGGTCTCTGGTGGGCCACTAATGGACAGCACTCTGCTCTCCTGTGCCCATGTCTGTGTGTGTGTTTTATATGTGTGTGTGTATTTTATATGTGTGTGTGCGTAAGAGGTAGACGAAATGTCCGGCAGTGAAAAAAAGGTTGATATTGGCCTTTGAATCAGCGGCTCCATCAGTGCTGACCCTGGTGGACCATACATCACACCAACTCCCCCACTCCTGCCACTTCTCTCCTCCTCTGCGACTCTCGTGCAACGATCAGAACAACAACAACACAAACCAGGCAAACACCCAGGAATCAGGAACCGCGTTGCATTATATTTAAATTGGCGTTTGAATCCTGGCTGGAAGGCTTTCAAGTCTGGTTAAGATTCAACTTGTCTTCAGCTCAAGATGGATGTAAAGTGTGATGACTGGACGTGACCAGAGAGAGTTGATAAAGTTTTACTGTATGCAGCTTTGATAGAACACCGGGATACATGGGAAACAG